CCGGCTCCACACCTGTGTGCCTCAAGGTCCCTCCTTCTTGAATTCCTGACATGGTTCTGTACCTGTTCCCTTAAAAGCAGACTAGAGTTCCCCTGTGAGTGACTGAAAAAAGACATTTCAGCAGATGGAACTGCTTGGTTTTAAAGTTCTTTGCCTGAGTCGGCATCTTGAGGCAGTTGGTATAGCGGGAAACAAAGTAACTTGTTTTTACTTGGCAGCATTCCTGACTGTTCAGACGTGGCAGACAAAGCTTGGGTTTCCTGAGCCTAAAGCAAGTGCAGTTGTTCTTGGGGACACAGTTACCCGATTTTCCTAAGACCATTCTCTGACACAAAGAATGAGTCCGGTACTGTCACTAGAAGGATCTGTTTGCATAGAGAGGCAGTAAGAAGAATTTTAAGGTAAAAGAGCTAAGTGAAACACAGCTCCCTTTCTGAGGGACTTAATATAGCAGAGAGGATAAAGAAAGAGGCCAAGCTGCTGAAGACTTCAAAGAGAGTTATTTTCCACAGCAGTTTATTTCTTCTAAATTTACTGAATTATGACAATAGAAATTAAGGTAAAATCAGGATTTTAAGACCCTGACGAGTCTCACTGGTTCCTTCTATGTAAACTGGAGACAAAGTGTGCCTCAAGTCTATAATAATCTCATTATAAGTGAATTAAAGTCTGACTGACTCGTGAATAATAGGTTATTACTGAGATGATTTTCATTGTTTAGAAAAAAAGAAATTAAGTCCAAATGAAGTGACTGGCTAGGAACAAAGTCTTGAAGTAAACAAATAAAGGATTTTCTGGACTAATTTAGGTTACATTGTATCCTAGTATTTCTATGTTGTTCTTTTGGACTTGAGTCCGTTTCTGAGTCCATAGCCGAGGTACTTACCTCGCCAACGGTCTTGTGACTGTCTGTATGTGCACAGGGGTACCTTGGCTTCAATCCTGTGTACCCAAGGTCTACGACTTTCCACACCTGCTATCTGGGATTAAAGCTTCTAATGTTGGCTTTCTTCTCCAGAGGCGAATTCTAGTTTATTTAAATTGATGGAATACACTCAGATGTTTTACATTAGCAAAATTTAAAAATAAACAAGAAGGAAAGAGAAAAAAATTTTACTAATTAATTATCAGATGAGGCTTTTGTGCTGAGGCCTACAAATGCCTGAGATGGAGGGGCCCGCACTTGGCAGCAGTTAGACCCTGAGATGGAATAGTCGCTCTGCTACTGATGAGCACATTATTTTGAAATTTAATGAGTTCAGTGTTTTGATGTTTTTCCTGCACTGCAGTCCTTTCGCACCAAGACGTGTGTTTCTCTTGGAGGTGTTCCCGTGTGTGTCTCACGCTGCCTTACTAGAAGTGGATTTACCAGAATGGAGCAGCAGCTGATAAATTGATGTAGTATCAATAAGATACTGCTAAGCCCTGGCCAGCTCTTCGCTCAACTCCCCAGATGTTTAGCCTGATGTTAGTACATTACATGGCAAACAAATTGCATTTTTTATTGCTTTATAAACTTTAGAGCTAATCAACCCCAGGTTCCAAATCCCTAGTGTCCTCTTTTCTGTACACGTAGCTTTCAGCCTCATTTTCATTCTTGACCTCACTTGTTCTCATCTGTTAAATGGGAATACGAAAACTTTGCAGTGTATTTGGGAGGTTAGAGATGATATCCTAGCAGTGGGCTGGAGACTTACAGCAGCCCGAATACATAGAGGTGATCTTACTTCAGCTAGTGTCCACAGCTTGATAGCATTGCCAAGACTGAGCGCCTTTCCAAGCTTAAACAATTAGCACTTCCACATCATATTTCAAACAAGTTAATCTCTCAGTAAAATGCTCTGCTAAGGGAGAGGTACTGTAGGGTCACAAATTACGTGCGAGGCAGCATCAGGCACTGCATCATTGGAAGGTGTATGCTGGAAAATATGCCAAGGGTTCTTTCTTGTTTTGTTTTGTTTTTCCTAAAAGGAAATTTTAAGTCAGTCTTTGACATTAGGTGCTATTAATTCTTATTTTCAGGCATACTTGTCAAATCTGTGTATTTATACTGTAAAATACCTGAGGGAAATCTTGTTTAAATTATGGAGGGGATATTTTTCTGTTTTCTTTGTAAGTGACGTCTCTGCAATGACCTGTGGTCATTTAGTGGCGCTTTCGTACACTGGTACAGCTGGCAAGCACAGCCGTGTGCACAAATAGTCCTGTAATCACTTGACAGATGGCGAGATGAAGCCCTCCGCGGGCGGGAGACGGCTGCAAGAACAGTGGAACCCAGAACACTGGCCTCTAAGCTACTAATTCAAAATGCATCCATTATCCCTTTCCTGGACAGGAATTTAGGAAAAGAAAGTAGAAGGCAGGAAACAGGGCAGTACTGTCTGAGTAATCAACACCAGTGTTCATTTTCTACAAGCAGGAATCATTGTGTTCTTCCTGTTTAAAACTTCCAGGAGTTCCCCTTTGCCTATTATGAAGTTTGTAATTGGAAATTATTTCTCTATACTGTATTCCCTGAATTAATCTGACTTCCAAAAGAAATAGTACTGTTCAAAAATATGCAAACATACCAGTCTTTTTGTGCCTCTGTGTCTTTCTCATAATTTTCCTCCACACCTTCTTATACTCTTTTCAATATTTACTTTGCATCTATTATGCTTCATACCTCAAATGTGCACATAGTGCTGACTGTGGAAGAGGCACTGCACGATGTAATCCACAATTGATAATTAACCTAATCTTCATAGTAATCTCAGGAAATAAACATCAGCCCATTTTGCAAATTAGGAAAAGGGTGCGCAAACTGAGGTGGCGCCACAAGTCCAGAAGTAGCGTTTGGGGTTAGAGGGAGCATTTGCAACCACGGTGCTGTTAGCTGCGAGCCCCCAGCAGCTCCACGGGTGCAAAGCTCCTCACACTCAGCAAACACTGATGTCTCCGTAGCACGCTGCCAAAGCCCTTCGCGTTGTAGAACCTATTACTTTGTGAATTTACTGGAATCTGAAGCCTAGCTCATATTTTCAGACTCAGGAACTTGCTAACTTCAGCAGTAACATGAAGCACAGACTCTTCTTTGGGGGACAGACTCCCTGGCCTGTGAGACAAATGTTTCCAATTGGGATGCCCAGTGGCTGAGTCTCAGCATGGACTAGAGCTGTCCGCTCTAGGGGCCGGCGTACGCATGTCCACGTGTCCAGTACTGTACCTCCTGACAGTCACAAAAACACAGATGGTTGGTGGCAGACAGCATGTCAGTACGGCGTCACAAAGAGGTGCTCATGTGAGTGGGTCAGCTTTAGGCTCGCCTAGGTTAGCAGGCCTCGTCTATTATCAAAACAGCAGAGCATCTCCAGTGGAACGCAAAGGACTTAAACTTCATTGGCCTTTTGTGTAAGGTCTTGCCAGATCGGGCCCTCACAACCATGTAGCTCTTGTCTATTGTCTTTTTTTCTATAATTCCACTACCTGACTGCCCCTTCCTTTGTTAATTTTAAGGCACACTAGTGCCACCAGTCGGGTGAAGGTCAGGTCTTTAGACCTCAGTTAACCACTGTGTAAGTTTTCAGGTGATTTTTGGGTCAGTATTCTCAAGATACAATACTGTTGCCACATAGTATTTCTATACTGATTGTAATTATGATTAATTTTCTTAATAGCAAAGACCAAGTTGTACTCATTAGTCTGTGTACTCTCCTAAGGAAGTTGACTGCCCAGAGAGTAACAAGAGCGCGAGGGATGTTTGCTGAACCAAAAGTATGAATGAAGCATTGAAGTATTATGCCTGGGAGGCTGAGTTCCGAAGCCTGGTGACCTAGATTCACGGCTCAGCAGTTGGATGGTTTTGCTCTTCTCACCACTTCAGCGGATATAATGATAGTATATTGTCCCTCAGGAGAAGATTAAGCAACTTAAGACAGGAGACAGAGTAGGAGCTAGCATTCCGTTAGTGTCGGCTCCCAGTGTACTCCATCTCTTGGAATTCCATAACACCTTATCTTGCTTTTTGAGCAATGTGACTAAAATACTGTTTCTCATGGATTATCCTCATTGAATGCTTTATCAAAACTTAAATGTTTCTGTTCATAAGAATTCAGTAACATGGAAACTCCCATGTAGTGCTGGTGGGAATATGCAACGGTACAGCCTTCTTGAAATCCACTTTGGCAACAATTTTCAAGGGGCTTACACAAATTAATTCCTTTTAGTTAAATAATTCACCTTCTAAAAATTTCTCCTTAAACATATGGAAACTTGGATGAAACATATATACCATGATGGTGTATTATACTCTTATTTCTCAAACTATGTAAATCACTTAAATAACAAGTAATGGAAGAATATTTGTTTTAGTATTTGATGAAGTATTATATATCTCTCAATGTATATTTAAAGTTTAGTTAGTAGTCGGGGGAAGTACTTCTAAAAAAATTTGAAGTGGAGAGGAAAACAAGCTACAAAATTGTACAAATGCTGTGATTTCCCTCCTTTGTATGAAAAAGGAATAAGCAAATAAAAATAATAGCAATTAGCTTTGCATATGGCAATCTTTATCAAAGCCTCTATGATGAACATATAATTTATAGATCAAAGTAATTGTGTAAGAACTGTGACCTTTCATACCTCTAGAAGACATGTGGACTATTCAGTCCAACTTTTACCATATTCAAAATTTAAGATCTTTTCATTGAACTATCTCTTTGGTTTATATTAGAAATAAGTAAGAAAACAGGATGCCTTTAACGTAGTTTTCAGAACACCTTGCTCTAATGTTTACTTGACGTAACATATGGCAGTGCTTCCTTTAAATTTTTGCAGCAGGATGAATGCTTCCGTTCACTCCCTGTCAAGCAACCTATTTCTTACACGCAACTTCTTTAGATAAGCTATCTACTATTTAATAGCAACATCTCTAAGAACATACTTAGATTTTTTTTATACTAATTGAAATCGGAGCCTTTCTTGCGTAGTAATGAGAGTTCTATTTTCTTTTTGTGACCCAGGAGCTGCGAAGGAAGAAATATCCGATACAGAACATGCAGCAATGTGGTAAGTAGGAGGTTTGTGGTGCAACAATGTGGCTTTTCAGCCTTGGAAAGTGCTAGGAAATTCCATGTATCCTGAGCATGATTTCCCTAAAAGTTGTTTGTCTCATCTTATTTTAATTATACAATCATTTAATAAAAGCTTTTAATAATTTAACCAGGTTGAATGTAATCAGACTGTTTCAAAACAAGGGCTCTGGCTGGGCGTGGTGGTGCCCGCCTGTGACCCCAGCACTTGGGAGGCTGGTAAAGGAGGACCTTTGTGAGCTTGAGACCAGCCTGGGCTACAAAATGAGTTCAAGGCCAGCCTGAACTGCATAGTAAGAGATTCTGTCTCAAAAGGACAAAAAAGAAAGACAAGGCCTCTGCATTTCCCCCCTGTGTTCAGTCTTTTCACATGGAGGTCTCATGAGAAATAAGAAAAAGAAGTGATAAAAGGGGAAAACTCCTGGGGCACCATGAAATAGTCATCAGCTAACCAAGCTGGGATATGACAGATTCATTCATTGTCCTTGCACGGGCATTCGCCAGCACCAGCTGTGAGCAGATGCTGCGGGAGTCCGCACACAAAGGCGCACGGCCTCGGAGCAGCCGGAACGGGGCGCGGAGGTAAGAGGGCCGGGGGTGTGCAGCAGCCGCCTTCCAGGGCAAAGCGTGGCCAGCGCCCTCAGGAAGAAATAAAGCTGTTTCTAGATCAGAGCAGAGAATCTGGAGGCTCCTGAAAGGAAAAGATTATTTGGAATTGGACCTAGGAGCTGCGCTGGCCCACAGTAGCTGTGAGGGCAAAGTCAACCCCAGTGGTGGCCACGTGTCCGGCAACTTTGGAGCAGGAATGTTTCGGGTCTTTTTGTTGTTGTTGTTTTGTTTTGTTTTGTTTTTGGTGGAACTGGAGATTGAACTCAGGCCTTTGCACTTGCCAGGCAGGTGTTTATTCTACTGAGCTATCTCCCCGGCCCAGAGGCAGGAATGTTTAGATGCGTTCTGAACAGGAATTTCAGTAAACTGTGCACCACAAAATACAATTGAAAAAGATTGTAAGGTTATAGGAGGTATGATCAAAATACATGTAAATGCTAAATCTTTAAAAGGATTATTACAATTAAAGACATATTGCCCCTCCTGCTTGAGCATTGTTATGCCATGGTTCTTGCCATTTTCTGAAGCAGTTCTGAACGTTACTTTAGTGAGTGATTTATGAGATGCGCTGCTGCCGATGCCACCGGCAGAAAGCCAGGCCTGCAGAGACGCTGTGGCGAGGTGAGGCCCTGCCCACCTGTTCTCCGGCGCCCTGCAGCTCTGTGCTGTTCCCTGGAGTCAAGATGGCATGAAAGGTAAACATTTGGCATTGACTCAGGGCATGGAAGCAACCGGGAAAGCACCAGTAAGGGTATGCACAAAAGAGGGCTTCCATGACTGCTCGGAAGGCGGCACAATGACGACACGCATGTGTCCAAAGCAGGGCGGGGGGTGCCTTCAGAGGCCTTAATGACAGTGTCTTTTACCGTAATAATTCCTCTTTGTTCGCACATTCGCCGTATCTTTTGATCAGACCGCTTATCAGCATACCTTAAAGAAGTCTGAATGTAGTCGTCCAAGTTGATGCTGCTCCC